ATACATTTTTTATTTATTCATTTGAAAGCTTTTTTGAGCTTGTACACAGTTGTGTATTAGAAAAAATATATTAAAAATGCGCTATTTTTTCTAATACAGATTGTATATTAATGTGTATTGCTGTATTTTTCTGTGTATTGCTGTGCATTAATGTATATTTTTGTGTATTGCTGTGTATTACTGTGTAATATTTCTTTTATTATTGGGTAATTTTGTATATTATTGTGTATTGTTGTGTATAAGTTTGTATTATTATGTATTGTTATGTATTATTGTGTATTTCTATGTATAAGCTTGTATCAAAGTTTGCACACACCAATACAGTGTGATACATACACATGAATACATAGCAATAAATAGTTTATATTAAGCAAATAAATCATATAATAGATTTTACACAGTTCTGTAAAAAAACAAGCAAATGTCCTAAACCCTAACAACTATTTCAGATAAACTATTTACATAACAAATAACTTCAGCATTTGAACATATCTAGTGATAAAGGATCCCTATGGAGATAAAGTTGACCTTAACTTCAGCGTCTGCACGTAATAATTTCTCCTTAAAGAAGAAAATGATCTCTATTCGAAGATGAAGAGTGCTTGAACTGAGAGCTGAAAGAAAAGTGAAATGACTTCGAATGCTGCGATTTCAAAAAAATTTCATGGACAAGTAGACCAGGTCGAATCATCGGGTCTCATGTGTCAGCATTTTATTAGATCTCATATGTAGGACGCAGAGCTACATCCGGATTCCGCACCTAATAATTTCTCTTGATTTAGAGGGTGGAGATGCACAATCTCGAAAGGGCTTTCATGTCAATATCCTTAGCATAATTATAACCTATCAATTTATTTCCTCTATCATTCGCACATATACTAAAGCAACTATACTTTAAGCAACACTTAAAAAATAAACAAATATTCTACGTATGAAATATGTATTGACTAGTTTCTCAATCAAGATTCAAAGGATTATAATAGGAGTTGATTTAACTCTTTTGCCCATGTAAATAATTATCAAGTCAAACTCTAACCAATGCATACAATGAATAAAATTTTTTGACTTTCTCATCACAAATCACAATCATCAAATAATATTCTAATAAACAACCTAAAAGAGCTTCTGAAAACGAAGATAAAGAAGACTATTAGGTTTCGTTTGGGACAGCTTTACTACTGCTTCTTAAAACAGTTTCCTAATACAAAAATTTTAAATTTCGTACTAAAAATTTTGCTTTAAGAAGTAGTAAGAAAATCGTTCCAAATCAAATCTCAGTGATGTTAGTTTATTCATAACCTTGAGTGAACTAAAAGCAAGCATATACTCATTATACATAGCTTGTGAAAAATAAAAGTATAAAAAGCCACTGTGGAATCCAAATAAGACGACATTAGCAAAAGAAGCTGTCGCTTTAGTCTCTTTAATAATGAATGGCCCCTCACAATACTTAGACAAATTCCGTTATCGTCACCAATTAATCAATGCCGAACTATGCGGTCGATCGATATCAGCCACCGACACTAATCCAGAATTCACAAAGCCGGGGAACAAATTAATCAACATCATAATTAATTACATTAATTAAAAATTTTAATTGCACAACCACCGATTAGATTCCTTAAGGAAAAAGAAAATAATTATTTTTATAAACTAATCACCTCATGATGATATGGTTGTTATAAGAAAATGTGGGCCTTCATCAATATCTTCAACTTTATGTCTCATCAATAGATAATCTTAGGATTTATTTATGAATATTTTACTTTTCACGTAGTAATTATAATTTTATTTTTTTAGCTATTATTTTCTCACAATTTTTTTTAAGATTTTTTTTATAATTAAAAGTTATTTATTATAATGAGAGTAGCTAAGTTAATTTTCTCACAGCAATTTCATAATCAACTGCAAAATTTTTATATCCTATTTTATGAATTATTGTCGCTTTATTTATTGAGATATTAAATTTATTATCTATAAAATTTTAAAAACATTAATTAGGCTATCATAATTCTAATTTATTCAATAATATCTTTTATTATAATAATTTAATCTTAATTCTAAAAATTATTTATTCTATTGCAGCATCATTTTTGTATACAGTAGCTATTATATAAAATATATATATAATAATTTTTTGTGTTTAAGCCTCTCGACAGTCGAGAATTTTAGGCTTTATTTGTGATGATTTTCACTTCTTAAAATAATTTTTTAGTATAATTTTTTTAATTAAAAAATTATCTTAAGAAGCAATAATAAAGTAGATAAAACGGCCTGCATGAAAAAGTGAAGGGCTTCCCGCGTTTGCCGCCTTGGATAGAGGCGGTCTTTCGCGGCCCGCCAGCGAAGAAAATGGCACTTTCTTATGTTCCACACTCCCACACGTTCTTTTCACTCAATCGCTACATTTTTTTTTTCTTCTCACGCGAATGTCGCCCTTTGGGATTCGTTTTCACATGAAAAGTGGCGAGCGTTATTGTTCTGCTCTCCGTTCCATAAGAAACGGATGCATTTGGCTGCGAATATTAAGTAGGTTAAATAAAAGCATCACATGAATTTTAGCTTTTCTAGCATTATATTCGTAAAATTTATGTAGATTATGTTCTTAAAATTTGAAATAAATATCCCAAAAGTATTATTTTTGTTTATTTCAAATTTTTTAAAATCAATCAAATTTCAAATACATCATGAGGAGAAATTATTTTGTGCGGACACCGAACCGTCTGGAGACGAATGAGAACGAGACATATCACCCGATACATAACACTAGTACATAGCAAAAAAGTGACTAGCATGCTTTCATTCATTTCTGGATGCTGTCCAGTGTCCGTGCAAAATAACTAATCCTAACTTGACCCCCCACTATGATAAGCCATCGTCCTAAACCATGCGGGCTATCTCTACCAGGAGAAATTATTCTGTGTGGGCACACAATGTAGTCCGATGATCAACTAAAATGCACAACGTCAGCGATACCGAGCAATACCGAACACATGGGTGATGTTACACATTCTAATTGGTCTCCAGACAGTGTTCGGCGTCTGCACAAAATAAATTTTCCTCTACCTGCTCCTACCCTCCACATCAATGCTGTCGTCACTATTAGCGAACATATTTGCTTGCAATGCAATCCCATCACGCCTCCGTTCGCTCTTCCCCAACCACATCCACAACTCTATTTCTCACACTATTATATTATAGTTGTTCAAAGTGAACTAACTTCTGGGAATTGAAATGGCCATGCAGTGTTCAACAGTCAACTGTTTAACTATTTTTTCCTGTTTTGCTAATAAATCTTCTTAAACATATTCATTATTATAATTTGTTGAAGCTGTAAAAAGTAGCTTATGGCATGACAACAAATGTAGATGATCATGATGATCGACACCTATACTCAAGGTATTAATAGTTTTAGGTGAAATGTCTAATCGTGATGTGCATCATTGTATCTCTGCATGAGAATTGGAATGCTTCTTAAGAGGGCAAATTTTTAAAAGGTTCAAGTTTAAATAGAGATTTAAGAGAAGGAGCACAATATAATTTTAATTTAAAAAGAAACAAAAACGTACTGCAAAATCACGTTTTAACAGAAAATGTAAAAAAAATTACGTTTTAACAGAAAACATGAACAGTAATTGTATTTTCTGTAAAAACTCACTTCCATATGAAATTTTTAAGCTCTTTTTTTCAGCTTTTTAGAGGATGGAAATAGAGAGAGGGAGAGAAAAGGTGGAGAGAGATGGATGGAGAAGGAGAGAGAGAAAAAGAGAATTAAAATTTATTTAAATTTAAAATTTAAAATTTTTATTAAAATTCTGGCTGAATCCTATTTTAAAATAATATATATAACTATTTTAAATTACATTCTGACTGAACTCTAAACCCTATTTTAATAATTATTTTTTTTATTATTTAAATAAAATTATTTTTTTTGTTTTAAAAATAAGTTAAAAATAATTATATTTAAAATAAGAAATAAGTTGAAATTATGAAATTATTTTATTTTTATCTCCCTCTGTGCCTGTTTCTTTCGGTACATGTAAAACTAAAAGAGTTTGTTAATTCTAATATTTAAATAGAATTCTTTTTAACTTATTTTTAAAACAATTTTCATAATTTTAACTTATTATTTAATTTTTTTAAAAAATATTTTTAACTTTTTTTAACTTATTTTTT